TTACCTTTAATGCGATTTTTTTGCGTTAATAATAATTTATTGTTGGACATTTGATTTTGCAAATTGAAAAGGTATTTGCTTTCGTAGAGCTTTTCTTGGATTCATATAAACACGCTTTGATGGTTTCTGTTATTTCTAAGTAATCAAATTTAATGGTTTTTCTATTATTTTTTTTAATTATTTCCTTTACATTGTGTGTGGTATGTACATAATGTAAATATGTATGTGGTGGTATGTTTTTAAACTATCATTCTTCAGTGCTTGATCTTTACACCACCTAATAAAAGTGGTGATGCAGCTAAAGATGGTAAAATGCACTAACTTAGCTTAACAAAAGCCTATTTACTCTTGCCTTTAACATTGTAATTGCATGGATAGACAGATGCTGGTAAATTGTTCAACTTCTTTACTGGAAACATTATGAATGACGAAAGAAACCGTTTGTAAAAGGATGCAATTGCATTCCATTGCATGCAGTTTGAGATTACATTCTTCAAAATGTATTCTATAAAATAACAAAAGGCTGGCTACTTTGCGCCTGTGGTTTAGACTGTTAGAATCGGATCTAAGTAAATCGGTGACACCAATAAGCCTCTTAGCACTCCTTTTAATTGAGTCTAAAGCAACTAAAATGCATTTTACAGCGCTACCCAATATATGCACACACTCTCTCACACACACACACACACACACACACAGACACGCACGCGCACGCGCACGCACACGCACACGCGCACACACACGCACACGCACACGCACACGCACACGCATACGCACACCCACACCGCACACACCCACGCCCACGCCCACAACCACACCCAGACCCAGACCCACACCCAGACCCAGACCCAGACCCACACCCAGACCCACACCCAGACCCAGACCCAGACCCAGACCCACACCCAAACCCAAACCCAGACCCAGACCCAGATCCAGACCCACACCCAAACCCACACCCAGACTCCAGACCCACACCCAAACCCACACCCAGACCCACACCCACACCCACACCCACACCCACACCCACACCCACACCCACCCACACCCACCCACACCCACACCCACACCCACACCCACACCCACACCCACACTCACACCCACACCCATACCCACACTCACACCCACACCCACACCCACCACACCCACACGCACACGCACACCCACACCCACACCCACACCCACACCCACACGCACACCCACACGCACGCGCACGCAAACGCGACACGCACACGCATACGCACACGCGAAGGAGGCTGGGTACTACCACCTGCTTGGGATCCTATAATTAATAAAATTAAAACTAAACCCAAGCATACCACTGCAAGACTTCAAAACACAGTTAGATCATTCTGCGTAGATCGGACCAAAGACAATAATTAAAAAGCTAAAGGTACTCCGGGTTAACTTTGACATCGGGACGTCAGTCAACTCAGTCCCCCGTGACCATGGGTGCTGGAAAGCACCCGAAACGTCGGGTATTAAAAATAAATAAAACGCGATAAAATCCGTAAAAGTAGTTTTAATCAATATAATGATCGTTTAAGGGTTATACCTAACGTTATAAGTAACGAAGTCACGTAACGGCTCATTTTTAAGTTATCAACACAAATTGACTAGTTGTATTGTCTAGTTGATAGAAACATGACGATAACGAAAAGCGCAAAGTAGATTCATATCACAAAATTAGAAAAGTTGAAGCTCATTAATATTAATGGTTAAGTACAAAACAAAGCAACGTGGGTAAGGTTATCGATATATTTTCCCTACAAGCTATTTTAGATATTAACACCAATATTTAGAATACTAAATTGCACGAGTTTGACTATTAGGCTTAGATATATTTGTTTTACTAGATGCTTGATGTCAAACATGAACTGATTTATACGATAATACAATAATAGTTACGTAATTTGCTTTTGTCACGAAATACCTTTTTATTATGTCTTCGGATTTCGTTTACTATTCAGTCAGCCAGTCACTGCTTTATTTTTTTTTCAATAGGTATATCAATATGTTACGTTTTAAATTAAGTATATTTTAAAGTGTTTTATTGAAGTACCTTTACCTAAGATGTACCTTTTTGTTTAAAAAGAAACAACCTTAATTCTTTGAAAGTTTTCCAAAGCTTTTTGACTGTGTGAACAAAGCTTTCTCTTAACAAGAATAGGCGCCGTTGTTTGCCTTTGATGCTACACCTAAATATTTGATTAATTTAATTATTTGTACTAACGTGAATAAAACTTGTATTTACGCGAATAAAACACATGGAATAAAACTAATTTTACGGACTTTATCGTGTTTAAATTTAATTTTTTTAATTCACGACGTTTAGGGCACTTTACTATCTTCAACTAATAACTAAAAGTTAAAGCCTCCGATTATGACGTCAGGACGTTAAACACATATTAAACGCGATAAAATCGGTAAAATTAGTTTTCTAACCACCGCAGAAAAAGAGAGGTGTTATAAGTTTCACCGCTATGTGTGTGTCTCTTAAACGGGTGAATCGATTTGTGTGCGGTTTTTTTTTATTTGAAAGCAGGTTTTCAAGCGGTGGTTCTTAGACATGTTTATCAAACTTCGTTAAGCCGTTTAAAGATCGTCAGCTTTCTTTATTCTGGGGGTTTAAATAATTTTCAATTTAATTAACTTGTTATTCCGCATTTGATTAATTTTTAGGATGTTCACCAGCCAAAAATCATACAAGATGAAGGAACGGTATAATAAATCGTACTCTGGAAGAAAGAAGAAATCCAAGTTTTCTGTACTGAAAGACAGATTAAAAACATATTTACGTTTGTTTCTTGAAACCTCATCTATACATGGACTGAATCATATTATAGCGTCAAGAAGACACCCTTGTGAAATGTATGTACAGTGAAGTATCGTTAAAGTATATGAGTTTTTTTTATATAAAATAAGCGTTATAAATAAGTACACACTCCACTTATAGTAGGTGGATGCTGTGGCCCACAGATATCTACATATATCCTCGATTAATTACCAAAATGCAGATTTTTTTCATAGAAAAGGGGACAAATGAGTATGCGGCTCACCTGATGGTAGTAACTTCAGCCATCCATGAACAACTACAACATCCGGCGAACTGATAGATTAAGCTTTTTTATTGAATGTTACTAAGTCGTATCGGTCCGGAAAAATCGCCGGTGATAAAGGATTCCACAAAGAGTTTGTGCAAGGAAGAAAACTCTTAGTAAAACGCACACACATTAGTGGACCTCCATGCATTCCAATGGTGTGGAAGGTTTTGTAAGTTTGAGGTGCAAAGTAAGTCTTGTGGAGGGGTGGTGGGGAGTGGAGTGAGTGTCCCATGGATTAAATTTGATCCTTTTGACAATTTAGCCTTCCTTTCCAAGTGACCACGAAATTTCACATCATTCGATATGTTGACGATTTTGCTGTTAAATGAGACAGCTAGGGGGTGCTCTGAATTCAAAGATATATATATATATATATATATATATATATATATATACACAATGGTTCTTTTAACGCGCTATTGTATCTTCCGAACTTAAACTAGACCAGACTTAGTCCTCCCCAATCTGTGAGTTTGTTTGACATCGACTCAATTTCAGACATAACTTTGTTTCGGTACACGACGACGTAATGTCGAGAAGATACGTTATTACCTCTGAGGACTAAGATGAAACGCCTCGTTTCCAGAAAAAAGGTTCACCGGTTCTTCTACACTCAACATACGAAACACAGCAACATTGATCTGTTATTTTTCGTTGTTATTTTGTGACAGCGTGGTCTTTCCCAGGTCAAATCGCGTCATTCATGCTACAACCATAATAAAACTGCAGCATGGCTCTACCCCGTAAAAATAGTTTACAGTTGGAATTAGGTTTCAGTGAAATTGCGACAATTATTTGTAATCGTTACGCTTGGTGTTATTGACATTTTATGAGATGGTTTATCTGCTATCCGTCGGTTTCAATTTTTGATTTCACTTAGTTGAATGAAAGGAAAGAATTACTATTACTAATTAATTACTAATACAAACAATAACATAATATCATATTTATTTTAAATCTGAGAAAATATTTTTCATGCACCTTGCCAGTCAAATTGTCGATTAAATTGTATCATTGGATTAACAACAATGATGTCCTCCAGGCCGTATTTCAATCACGGCGGCCAGTCTCAACGGAGACTAGCAGGTCTGGATTATAGTTCACGAGTTCATGCGCAAGCACAGGTGCACTCTCTATTCCCACACTCATAGTCCGATGGGACGCTTTGAGCTTTACGTGCTTTTCGATGCACGGCTATGAAACACCGCCAACTTTCTGACTCCGGGCTACTACTAAGAAATTCTTAACAGAAGTACCCAAAAAATGATTTTTCACCCGAGCTGGGATTTGAACCCGGGACCTCATGATTAATTTTTATTTTTATATTTCAAAATATTTTGTACGGGTGTTACCAGTCATGACTGGGTGATTAAATCGTGTCCTTACATTAATATTTGTCTTAGATTACAACATATTATATTAATAAAAAGTCTGTGCTATATTCCAAAACTGATCTGAATTTATACTTTGATCGAATTTAAAAAAAGGATTAGGTACTCAATTCGACAGTATTTTTTAAATGATTTTGATATTTTTTTTGTAAGCTGATTTTTCTCACGTGGTCCCTTAAAAATTTGATCAAGACCAGTAAATTTTCAGTTATTCTAAATAATTCGTATTTAATTCACTTTGACTTATACTGATGATGTTGTCATTTTATTTATATTTTTTTATATTAAAGTTGGTCTTACAATTTTTTTTTAATTTTACATCTTGTTTGTTAGATTGCTATGGCTAGCGATGGTTGGACTTTCTGTGTGCGGTATCCTGTCTCTCTCTCAAGCTACTTGGGTACGATATCAGTCTTCGCCAACTGTAGTATCTATGGAAAGGGACATGTACGCCTGGAACACTTCTTTTCCATGCGTAACTCTATGTCCCGACAAGAAATTGGATACAATGAAACTAATTGATTATATCAAGTAAGTCACTTATTATCTGCATATATATTCCGTTTAAAGATCTTTATTTCTCAATAAGACAATCGTCACTTACATGAGAACAATAACTATATAAATTTAGTAATAACAATTTTTAGTGCGGGTATAAATAAAACTTTGTTGGATGTCGCTTTTAAGAAGCGAATATCTTCGTTACTTTTTCAAATTAAAATGTGTTCCAAGTTTAATAATGTTTTTTAACTTTTATTTAATAATGAAATTTAGGTTAGGTATTTAGCTATATAGGTATAGGTATAGGTAGGCAAGTAACTTCTGTTTGAAAGCATTCGAAGATTTCGCCTCCTTTACAAATTTAGGTACTTTGTTGTATAACTGTACTCCTTTATACGTTATATTATTTTTAGCATAGTTTGTTCTTATAGGCAGCAATACAAGGTGACTAGCTCGGCGTGTTATGTATTTGATTGTTTGCTCTTTGTTAAAAAAAGTTGTGTGTGGATTAATTTACGTTTTATTTTGTATATTAGTATGCATGTGCTATATGTATAAAGTTGAGTAACGTTCAACAGTTTAGTTTCTTTATGTATTGTTTTAGTTGGTGTTAAAAAAGTCATAGTTATATAAAAATTTTATGATACGGTTTTGTAGCACTTGGAGAGGTTTAAGATTGGTTTTGGTTGCATTGCCCCATACCTACAAGATAAAGTAAGTGAGATTTTACTAGAGAGTTATATATTAGGATTCGGTCTTTTTTCGGAATACATCGAACTATTTTGTGAAGATTATTAAGATATTGATACACATGTTCTGTGGCGGTAGGCAGAAATTATAGATTTCCAAGAATCTGGATCATTCCATACTTTTTTTTACTTTACTTAACTGTTTTGCTTATGCTTTTTATTAATGTTAATCCGTTAAAACTCACACATTTGCATAAATGTGCAGTTTTACTTACATAGGTAGTACTTTTTTAGTTAAAGTTACCGTTACAGCCTATTACAGCCCACTGCTGAAAATGGGCTCTCTATGGATGTTCCATGAGCTCCCATGGAACATCTATGGAGATTGCTTCAGATGGGGGATATTTCCCATAGTTGCCACGCTTACTAGGCGGCCTGGTAACCGCATTTTTATTTTTATTCGTTGTTAGGAAGACGCTGCTGCCCTTCTTTGCTTGCTTCTCTCTGATGCCTCTTACGTCATCCATGGGATGATATGGGGTACCGAATATCCCTATACCGCCACTACTTAGTAATACTTTCCTCATTCATTGATAGTTACTCTGTCTTACGTAGCTTTGTGTCTTACGTTTCATACATAGCCCCTTTATTTAACTATGTCCTCAACAAACCAAAAATTAAAATTTCTTCCAAGTCATTATTTTGAGCTTAATAAATGACACCTTATCTACCTTAACTTTCAGCTACGTAAAATCTAAATTTTACATTTCAATTATTATTATTGGCATTATAAAAAATATATTTTTTAAATTAATTGCTGATACTGATAGAACATCAATTTTACAAACAAAATAATATTGGCAAAACATTTAAAAAAATGGATTGCAACAGAAAAGCCTCCGACTCAGCATAACAGAGTTACCGCAGCGCTGATATTCTGTCGGAGTCACATAAATCGACACACGAGCAATAGCTGGACGTAATTTTGTACCTATTTTATAACTTATAATCACTAAGAACTTAATAAAAATTGACACTAAATCTAATTATTGGCTTTCTGATCACCAACCCACCTGCTTAGTGTCATTCAAATTAAAATGATTATGTAGTTATTTCAAATAAAATTTTAATTAATATATATCATCAAACCTTTTTTATAGTATATCGGTGGCAAACGAGTACATAATCCACGTTATGTTAAGTAGATGCTGTGGTCTATGGACATCTTTATCTATCCTCAATTAAGAATCAAAGATCTAAGGAATAAGACTCGTTTCCAGTAAGGAAGGTTCTCTTGACACAGCAGCATTAAACTGCTATGCGTGGTCCTACCTTCATGCTACAACCATAATATAGCTGCAGTGTGGCTCTACCATGTTTTTCTTATAGAATAAAACTGACAAACAAGCAGACAGTTCACCTGTTGGTAAGTGGATATTCTGACCCATGGACATTTATAATTTAACCTTTAACATTTATACATTTAACCGCGCTTAAGAATCAAAATACAGATGCGTTTTCACACCTGAGGACTAATATGGAATGCCTCGATCCCAGTAAAACGGGTCTCCGGTTCTCTACCCTCACCACATGAAACACAGCGGCAATAAGCTGCTATTAATAAAGCTGCAGCGTGGCTCAACCTCGTATGAAACGTACTTAACCTATAATATTTTCTTATTACGACAGGAATTCAGACGAACCAGACAAAGTTAAACTTGAAGAATTCATTACAGCGTTAGCTAATGCCACATTTGAAACGTTCGAGTCAGTGCCTGATTACAATGGAATACCAGCCAGTAAATATATGGAGTTAATTTTAAACCTCGCACCTGATTTCAACCCTAGTGTGGTTATTGGTGCAACGGGTCTTACTTTCGAAATTGTACCTACTATCACTGAAATGGGTCTATGTTACGCTATGAACTCCATGATTGCTGTATACAATTCACCATCGTAAGTATTTTTATTATGAATATATATGATCAGCTTGCCATTTCATCGTGTAAATCATCATCACAAATTTACTCCGTTTCTGCAGGCCATGAAGTATATTAGCCGACTTCCTGAATACCTCTTTGTGCTCATTTTAGTCTAGTCTAGTCGAGCTGGTCTAGTCTTGTCTAGTCGAGTTACACTTTTAGTACAGTACGCTTACCTGTACACACAAGACTGTTATTCATGAATCTTTTTTCCACATCTGTTGTCAGTTTTACTACTTATATTATGTTTATTTTTACCTTATTACAAAATGTTAGAAAGACATTTAATTTGTTCTTTATAACTTACTCGTATATTCTTTTTAATACTCCGCGTAAAACAAGAGTTGCGGATCGGATATAGGTTCCTTCAGTTAAATCAAATTTTAAGTTTTAAATGTCTCTGCAATTCATAAATTACCTGGATATACTTTTTTTATAATGTCCGCCTGATGGTGAGTGGTCAATGCACTTTATGTACATCTTGTTAACTTCAAACAAAAAAAATCACTGATGAGTCATCTCTGAAGAAATATCTTATAAACTTCAACTTAATTATACCTAGTTATAACGTCGTTCTTAAGATAGTAATCACATTACATTATTATCCTATGTCAGACGGTGTTTTGGGTTTTGCGTTCGGAAGTATGACTAAAAAATATTATTTAAATTTGAATAAAACATTTATTACGGATTTTATCGCGTTTGATTTTACGAGTACTTACTTTGCTTATATGTAATCCACGACGTTTCGGAGACGTAGTGCCTCATGACCATTGATGCTGAAGCAGCCGAAACGTAATTAAAAAAAAAGTAAAATTAAAAGCTATCAAATTAGTTTCATTCATCGTCAAATATTGGGGTAAAAATTAGAAATCATTATATTATTTAACATAATTGCATGGTAGTATTTTTTGTTATTATTATAAAATTAAAATAATTTAACACTCGCCTCGGCGCGCGAACTGAATGGAGGAACCGTCAGTGAACACTGACGCTTTATATACGCGAGTGACACCGCGGGGAGCAGCTAGTTCACTATAAATTGTTTTCTATTATCTCGGTCTCCTCAGTTTACGGTGCTTTAAAAATATACTCAATATAATTTTTAACTGTTAAAATAAATAAAATTATCATATCCAAACCATTCTTAACAAATCCACGATTTCATACCTTAACGATTTATATTAAATAAGTCGTGTTTAGACCATCTAGTGTGTATTTAACGGACCACCTTTCTCATTTTTTGTTATGTTTTACCCAGTGATAGTGTAGTTGTATACAAAGTGTAAATTAAAATGATTACTTCCTTTTAAAATACACTATCGCTAGTTTTACCTATAGAATGAAGTAGACATCGCTATTAGAAAGCAATTTTAGTCGAATAAAAATACTATTTTGATTTTAAACATTAAAATTTGGGCTCTCCATAAGTCTTAAAATAAGAATTGTAACACTTATTAGCTATAAAATTAAACTTTTATCTTATGTTTTATACCGTATTTGTGGTTGAAAATGATCACATTAAATAAATCATTTGCTGTGAAATGTTTTTGTTTTATATTTAAATTCATTTGAAAGTTTCACTTCTACCAAAACGCATACATTAAAATAAAAATAATGTATAATATATTAGTTTATACAATTAGTATGAACATTTTTAGAAGCAGCATGGAAGCGATCACCTCATTCCCAGGGGTTATTATGAATTTTTTTACTCTTAAGTAGTTGAATAACCTTTATTAAAAAAGTTTTGCTTAATAAATATTTTAAACTTTTTGAGGCCTGCATATTTTCTTTGTTGTAAAATCGTATACCTCTTGTGTTTATCTCCATGAATGAATTACAGACTGTTAGGAGTCGCGTAACTGGTATAACTAACTTGCAGTTGCAATATATGTTAATCAAATTAATTAAATTGCTTGTTAGATTGAGCAGTCTTACACAAAATTTTGACGTTGGATCGTCTTATGTTAAAAGCAATTGTTTACAGAATACTGTTGTTACTGACTCGAACTCTTTTCAATGGAGATGCCATATTTTTAATGGCTTTGTAAATATACCCACTACCTCACATCGTCCCGTGGGTGTCGTAAGAGGCGACAGAGGGAGACAAATCAGGAGATGGGCAGCAGCGTCTTCGTAATACATTTAGTGTCCATCATATCGGCATTACATATATTAGAAAATAAAAAACTGCGATTGTGAACCTACCTGCCACGCGTGGCAATTATGCCATTTAAGACCTATTATATTCATCAGTGGACTTTTGATATGCCGTAACGGTACATGTTTAATTTTTTTTATACAGGTACAGAGCAAGAAACAAATGGGATTACGTAAAACCTCAAAACGAGACCTTCTCTGTCCACCCTCTTGATGGACAAGTGTTTGCGCAACTCATCGATATATCCACCGCATATAAAGTAAGTAAATATATTCAAACTATATAGAATAAAAAGTTTGTACAACTAGTGGGTGTTGCCAGTGATGATCTGAGACTTATCGATCTGAGACGTGGTCCTTCACTGCTGGCCTTATGTGAAAGCTCAAGGTCGCTCAGCGAACTATGGAGAGGATTAAGCTTGAGGTTTCTCTTTGATAGACTTAAACTCCACAGTAAAACCGAAGTAACCGACATAGCCCAAAGTATTAGTAATAAGAAGGGGCAATGGGTCGGCCATGTAGCTCAAAAAAGCAACGATCAATGGGGAAGAAAGACTCTCGCGTGGCAGCAGTAGTGGCATACCGGTAGACGAAGCGTGGGGTAGCCCCCCATTAGATGGAGTAACGACCTGGTAAGACATGCAGTAATTCGGTGGACGCAGGTGGCTCAGGAACGTTCTATGGTCAATCTTTGCGGAGGCCTATCTTCAGCACGGACTTACAAGGGGCTGTAAGAATGATGATATCATAACACAGGACTACTTTACCTACGCAGATTGAAATGAAATGATGCGGATTTCATTGGTATATTCAATTTAAATTTTCGTTATATCACAGAGAATATGGGAAACATTATTTAAAGAAGTTATTAGTAATGTCCTCCAGACTGAATTTCGATCAACGAAAATAAGCCATCAAGACAGGATTATTACGCAGATGTGATGTGATATGATTCTTTCGCATTCCGATACGATGGTTCGACACGACTGGAGTGACATCAGATGCAGAACCAATGGTTTCACGTGCATTCTGAAGCATGGGTGTGAAACCGGATAGCTACTGAGAATTTATTGACAGAAAAACTCAAGGGCTGGTTTCCGAACCTGGTACTTTATGAACAATAACCACGTTATTACTACTCAACCTAGAATAGAAAGTTAATCGTCTGCTGATAAAATACAGTAAATGATGTAATTGTTCAATCAATCCGTCCATTGGAAGCCTTATCTTAAAGTGAAAATAATACAGGATAAATTAAATTACCTGTTCACAAACCATGAATGACGAAGAAAGCTTACTACTTACCAATTAATAAAAATTAAATATACGTGGTAGATCCACGCTGCAGTAATATTATGATTATAGCACGAATGGGTCGGGCCGACCAGGATAGGAGCACGCTATCACAGAATACCAGCGTAAAATAGCAGCTTGATACTGTTGTTTCGTATGGTGAGTGTAGAGAACCGAAAACCATTTTTACTGGAAAGAGGTATTCCATCTTAGTCCTCGGGGATGACAAAGCATCTGCATTTTGATTGCTAATTGAGGTTAAATGTATATGCCTATGGGCCACAGCAACCACTTACCATCAGGTAGACTGTGTGCTAGTGTGTCACCCTATTCTGTAAAAAATACTCACTACGTTCTAGATTTGTATATACAAGCTTCCTCTCATTGTTTATATGGTTAAAGAGCAGAAAGGAGTTCATCGCATCGCTGTTGTATGAACTATTCGACATCAAATTTCTTGTTCTCTATTACACTTCTTGTCCACTGCTGTACCCACATGGGCCTCTTTATTTAAGGAGGTAATCATCGATTCAACCCCAAAAAGAATGATACAAGTACGTGCATAAATGTTGTTGTTGACTTTGCACCCTGTGTGTAGCCCATAGCGTGACACATGAGTAAGCAAATGTAATGAGATCTGCATGAAACATATATTTGAATAAGTTTTTCATTATTACACTACGTGAGCTTCTGTAAGGACATCTCTTAATTTTATGTTAGTTTTTAAAAACGCCTCTACCGCTCCCGTAAATTGGACTAGGTGCTTAAATCATTAAGCTTAGTAGGCAGATTGCAATCGCACGATGATTTCCTCGTTTGTCTTTGGTTCGAATCCCAGGCTGGGCCAACAAAATTCAGCTATTGAGTTTTTCTGTCAAGAAATTCTTAGTAGCAGCAGAGACTCAGGAAGTTGGTGGTGTTTCACACCTGTGCCTCGGGGAGCACCTTAAGCCATTGGTACTGAGCCTGATTTCTCTCCAGTCGTGTCGGCTTGCCGTCCCGTCGGACTTTGCGAGTGAGGGAATAGAGGCTGTACCAGAGCTTATGCGTATACTTGGGCGCTTTTTTCTGTTCTGCACACATGGCTGGTCGGTTCGGTCTGGAGGTTATCTGACGATGATAGTACCAGGCGTCTCGTACCTTTATCACTGCTTCCCGTCGCTGCACTAGATATTTTACGCCTGGTGTATACGAAATGATTATATGTCATCTATTGGAAGCCATTCGTACTTACGACACCCACGAGATGTAATTAGCTGATCTTACGCTGCCACCGCACGGCAAGTTATGTAAATTTCTTACAATTTTACGTGTAAAGCCACGCTGCAACTATAGTTGTAGCACGATAACCATGCTCTCATTGAAAACCAACGTTAAATTGCAGATTAATACTACTGTGTTTATGGTGTGTGTATGGTGAGAGTAGAGTAGATTTTTACTGGAAACGAGGCATTCCATCTTAATCCTAAAGGATGACAACGCACCTGCATCTTGATTTATTTTTCTTAGGCGAGAATAAGTGTAGATATCTATGGGCCACAGCGTCCGGTTACAATAATGCAGACTTTGTGATCATTTATCACCTTTATTGGTTATAAACAAAACTTTGTCCATATATAACTTAAGAGCATGAGGTAAATTAGAACTTTAAATTGCAGTTGAAAATTTGGTAGTGTTCGAGGTTTAGATCTGAGTTATTGGACAGATTTAAATAAAATTAGTTTTTACGGATGCGTTTTCTTTGTCATAGACTTTTACAAATTCTTAATTTGAACTTTCAGGCTTATGTACATGGATCTTTGGAAGTTCCGGACATATCAACAAAGCATGAAAGATCGCAGGAAAATTTCTATATGAAAATCTATATGACTGCTTTGACAGTATACACATCATCGGCGGCTGCTAAGTACTTATGTTTTCATTTTTTTTACGAATGAGCGTGACAAAAGAACGAGTACATGAGGACAGTCTTTTTTGCTTTTAAAAGCCAATGCTTGATTACTACCCCATCTGATGGTAAGTGGTGATGCCGTGGAATATGGTAAAGCACACTGACTTAGCTTAACAAAAGCTTTATCACTTTTGCTTGGAAGACAAACCTTCCACTCCTTTGATGTACGCATTATGAACAACGAAGCAAATTGTTTGATTCGAATGAGCGGTATCTCGACAAAGGTGTGGGAACCAGACAAGAAGCTGCTTGCTGCACCAGCCCATATATGGTTGCAATACTTCATGCACGAGCGGAATTGCGCTTTATATAGTGTAAGCAACTGTCGCTACTATATTATAGCTGTAGCACGAATGGGTCGGCTCGACAGGGGAAGGCCACGCTCTCACAGTATACCAGCTTAAAATAGCAGCTTGATGGAGCTGTGTTTTGTATGGTGAGTGTAGAGAACCGGAAACTCATTTTAATGGAATCGAGGCATTCCGTCTTAGTCCTCAGGGGTGATAATGCATCTGCATTTTGATTCCTAATCGAGGTTTGATGTGGATGTCTATGAGCCACAGCATCCCCTTACCATTAGGTGGATTGTGTGCTCGTTTGTCATCCTTATTGTATAAAAAAATCAGTCGGTGATTTATAATTAGAGAAGGAGCCAAAAAGAGCTGGCTATTTATCGTGGTGTAGAGACACACTTTTGTTATGTAGGTTGAATCCCACGAGATTACGAGGGCGGCACTGAAAATTTCGGGAATCAAGAAAGTGACACAACATTACTATTTAAAAATGTATTTATTGCTTTTCGAAGTATTTTCCGCGAAATTTGACACATTTTTCCATACGATGGAACCAATCATTGAAGCAACCATTCCATTCGGAAGTTGGGGTCTCCAAAATAGCCGTTTTGTAGGCGTCCACAGCTTCTTCAGGTTCACTTCAGGTTATTCTTTATTTTAGGGAAAGTATAGAAATCATTAGGGCTTAGGTCGGGGCTGTACGGCGGATAGAAGAAAATATAGAATTATTTTCTATGTTTTCTTGCTCTAAAAACTCTTTTGTTATGTGTGCTGTGTGAGAACTCGCATTGTCGTGATGGAGGATGATGCGGCGGTTGCAGTTCTCTTTACGGAGTTCAGAAACGACCTGTGGTAAACAAATGCCAGCATACCATTCTGCATTAACAGTTCTTTGTCCCTCAAGAGGAATAGTCGTAACATGGCCGTTTTTGGAGACAAACGTGGCCACCATTTTTTTGCAACACTCCGTGAACGAACAATTTTTGTTGGCTTTAACTCATTTTCGAACACCCAAACTCGTGACTGATTTTTTATTTCGGGTTCGTACGCATATATCCAGGATTTATCACCTCGTACAATGTTGTATACAGCATTTGAGGATCCTGCGTTGAATCTTTTGAGAGTTCTGACGCACCAAGTGACGCGAGCCGCTTTTTGCTCTTCACAGAGCGAATGCGGTATCCATCGGGAAAACAACTTTTTTACACCTAATTGTTCATGCAAGATTATTTGTATTTGACTCATGCCAATGTCTAAAGTTGCCTGAATTTCGCGGTATGTCAAATGTCGATCATCCTCAATGAGCTTACACACAGCATCAACGTTTTCTTGGGTGACTGCAGTTTTTGGACGACCTTTACGGGGATCATCACTGAGCTTGACACGTCCACGTTGAAATTCAGCAAACCAGCGATAAATTATGGTTTTAGATGGGTCTTCAACCAAATGCAGAAATCATCCGGTCAACACACTGCTTTTGTGTTAAACCACTTGGAAAGTCATAATAAATCATCGCTCTTGAATTTTCTCGAGTCAATTGCATTTTCTCAACGACTAAACAAGTTTGACAAAAACTTATGACAAGACCGAGAATCTTTTCTTAAATAAATAAATGGTATTCGATTTTTAAAACCAACGAGTTTTCAATTAAAAAGATTTTAATATGACAGGAACAGTGGAAATATTCCATTCCCGATACTTTTAGTGCAGCCTAGGTAACATC